ACCTAGAGACTTCTTCTCCTCTTGTGTTTGGTAGCAGGAGCTGAAATCAGATGAGTCCCACGGGCCTGCCAGGGATATCAGCTCTGGCAGCTCCTTCATGGAGCCATCAGCATGGGCGTGTACCTGGCGCAGTTCACTCCCATCCCTGATGCCTGTCCATTTTGCAGCGTGAGGGAGACCCTGGCGCACATTTATCTGCAGTGCGCCAGGTTGCAGCCCCTTTTCCAGCTCCTCCAGAGCCTCCTTTTGAGGTTCTGGCTGCACTTTTCCCCACACCTTTTCATATATGCACACCCTGTCCGTGGCCCCATGAAGTCACGAGACCTCCTCATCAACCTCTTCCTGGCACTGGCCAAAATGGCCATCTATGATACCAGGAGGAGGATGTTGGATGGGAAGGTACTCTGCCACGGTGGGGCCTACTTCTATTCCTCCCTTGTTTCACGCATCCAGGCAGAGTTCCTCTGGGCAGCGTATGCTGGCTCCCTAGCCATCTTTGAGGAGCAGTGGACACTGTCCGGGGTTCTCTTCTTGGTGTCCCCCTCCAAATCCCTGATTTTGAACCTATGACCCTCACTTCTGTCCCTGCTTAATCATTTGTTGTCCCCCGCGATAAGTTGAACCCTGGGTTTAGTGGCTCCTCCTCTTAGGCTGGGGGAAAAGTCTTTTGATAAGGGCAGACTTACGCTAGAATTCAATAGATGAAATTAGATGAGGCACTCCAGATATCAGTTCTTAGAATGAAATATCTGGAACTGTTAACAGGTTGTTCTCACTGAACATCACTCAACTCAGGAAGATTCTTGCCTCTGGTGAACCCAGAGAACCACAGTATGTTGACCTTTAAGACACATTGCCTGCCTGAGTGGGGGTGGAAGTGCATATGTGAGGAGTTGGTGAGTTAATATTTAAGTTGTTTTTGGGGAAAATCTCTTCCTTTAAAAATTGTATAAACTGTTTTTTCTTACACATCTTTATACATGCACCTTGATTTTGTAATTAGATGCATTTTATTAATTAAATATAGCTTTTATAGAGAAGGCCTACAGAATTTGAGAGAGAATTATAACGTCTATAGAATTTTTAACCAGGCTAGGAAATCTACGAGACAGGGTACTGGACCAGGAATCAGGACACCTGGGTTCTACTGACCTGTTGTGTGAACTTGGGCAAGTCACTTTATCTCTCTGTGCCTCAATTTCTCCTCTCACCCTTTTTCTGTCTTATTTATTTAGAATGTAAGGCCCAGTTCCTCAAAGGCATTTAGGCATCTAACTCTCACTGATTTCAATGGGAGTTAGGTGACCCCGGACCATTGAAGATCTAGGTGTAAGGTACTTGGGGTTAAGACTGTGTCTTATTATCAGTAGAAATACACAGTGCCTATCACAATGGGTCCCAAATCTCAGTTGGGGTCTCTAAATAATAATAATAAATACATATCTGATCAACCCATACAATTCAATAGCAGCGATATAATTCTCTATTAAATTCTATAGTTTTCTAGAGTAATTCTATAGAGCCATATAATGTCTATGGAATCCTGTCAGTTTCAGCCCTATTATATTTCTATAGGACTTTTCTAAAAGGTAAATGACTATTGTATATAATCATTATAACTAATAATAGGTCTTATTGGAAAATCTTACAATGGGATTTTCCCAATAAAGCATATACTTTACAGAACACACATTTTACTATTTATTACTTCACTACATGTATTACTATACTATTAAGTCAAAGTTTTCAAAATTGGCCTTTTGTTTTTGTTGCCAAAATTTTTGGATTCCAAAATTGAGATACCTAATTTTCAAAGTCATGAGATCCCACAATTCTAATTGAAGTCAATGGGATTTGCAGATCTTTAGCATCTCTGAAAACCAGGTCCAAGGCATCTCAGGTTGGGCATTCAAAATCTGAGGCCACTTTTGAAAACGTTGGTTTTAGTCAATAAGCCTTTGAGTCAAGTGTTTGATAGAGGCTTTTTAGTCTTCCCCGTCTTGTGTTGGATTTCTCAAATTAGAAAACAATAACAGGAAAATAAAGCATGTTCTAAAATTGTAGTAGGCCCAGAAATAGATACTGAATGTCCCTACTTGCCAGACAATGGGAGACTTCAGTAGAAATATAAGTTTTAACTTGCGTTTTTAATTTTTTCCCCCCTATGAAATCCTCTGACACTTACTGGATTGATAAAGATAGTCCATAATACATATTTCTGTGATATAACTGACACCACTAGTCCCATGCAATCTATATGGGATATATCTTAGCCTTTGGAAATAGGTTTGAATTACATAACCTTATTATCTCTTATATATTTAAACAACTACATGCTTTTACAAACTCAGGCCCTGGTTCAGGGCAGCAGTCCAGCACATGTTTAACATCAAAAGCATGTGCTGAAGTGCTGCCCTGAATCAAAGCTTCAGTGACCAGTCTTGAGAACCTTATTTACAGAGCTTGGTGTTTACTACCCTTAGCAGACCTGCTGATGTACTTTGTACTACTCATGGTAATAAGTACTGTGCATAGTGCAGGATTGGGCCTTGTCATTGTTACCATGTCATTTCCTGTCTTGTAACAGTAAAATAAATTTGTTACAGGATATGATGTCATCTGAAAATCAATGGGAGTAGGGAGCACTCAGCACCTCAGAGGAGTGGGCCCTAGGAGTCCATGCCTGCTCCTAGTGAAACCCAATGGCAAATCTCCCATTGACTTCAATGGTGTTATGATTAGGCATTTAGGCTGGGATTTTCAAAAGCACTTTAAGAGGTTTAAACTTTGAGCTCCCATAAAATTCATTAGGATTTCAGGCAACTAACTGCCTTGTGTTCCTTTGAGAATCACAGCCTTAAGAGTTTTAGTTTCCAGAAAGGAATTGTTGCTGTTATACTGCAACAACATTTTCTCAAAAACATCTAGATTTTTATTCTGTCTAAAGAATAGTGATAACTGTTTGAAGATCAAACAAATAAAAAGAAGTTGAGAAATAAATGTGCTGTCAGCTTGACCACTTTCGATGTACTTGTCAGACACAGAAGAAATAGAAACAGAAGATAGCTGTTGAAAGATCAAGTGATCTAGATAATTTTATTGTCGTTGTTAAGGAGAAAGATGGAACTGATCATGACTCTTTCAAGTACATTAGGAAGTGTACCACAATGGTTGAAGCACTCCAAATAGCCACACTTAAAAAAATTTCCAACTTCCATTTGGTGTTGGTGGGTTTGTTTCTGTTTGTTGGTTTTGGGGAGAAGATTGATACCAAACAGTGTTATAAATAATATACAAGCCCCAAGCTGTATATATTGCAAAGCTCTTATCCCAGCTCTCAACTGGAATGGTGCAAGTTGGCCCTAAATTAGGCATAGCCAGGCCTGGGAAAGGCTCCCATTTTAATGGGATGCTTAATGTAAGTCAGCAGTAACAGCTCCTATGTCCCTCTCCCATTGCCACTGTAGGGAGCATGGCCAAAGGCAACAGAGGCGGCTCCCCTGCACTCTGACAATCTGCAGATGTCATATCAACTCTTTGGGACAGATGTAAGCCAATAAATTGTAAATTGGTCCACTGCAGCTAGTGTAAGTGGGACCCAACCCTTAGGCTGCTCTAATGTACATTGGGTGAATGCTCCATGACACATCTTTACCAAGATAAGACCACGTTTGCAATCCCCTTCCAAAGATTCACTGTTTACTTCATGACTGCAGCAGAGGATGGAGGCCTACCCTTTTAGTTTTGGTGATATGTACTGTACAAAACAACTGATCTTTGTTCTCATTTTTTATGTTGTACAGGATCTAGCACATTTCAGTAATTATAAAATATAAAAATACTGTCATATCAAGGAGCATCATTTATTCATTGTCTCCCTGAATAAGGGAAGCAAGAGAAAATCTCTCTCTCTCTCTCTCTCTCTCTCT